AAAAAAAAAAAAAAAAAAAAGAAAGAAAAGAAAAAAAGAAAGAGAGAAAGAAAAACCTAAGTTGGGAAAATCAATGGAAAGAAGAAGAAAGGATAAGAGGGAGAGAAAAGGAAAATAGAAGTGAAGGATTTCACCAAATCAAATACAGTAATGTCCCTGCCGCCATTCCTCTTACTTTAGCCACTCAGCCCCATGCGTGGAGGTGGGAAAGGACACCCACAGCCTCCTCCCTGCTGGCTCCCATCCACGTGGCACTCTGCTGCCAGGCATTGGAAGATGAATGGCATGCTACTGTCAAGGTTTATTTGGTGTGTGCCAAGCATGGCTTGTGGGAAGGATAATTTATGGGAGAACTTTCATTTTTCATAATTTTGTTATTATTTTTGTCATTTTTAAGCAGAAAAAGAGGAAGGAGAATCACATAGCTAAATTCTGACACAACCCCAACCACGTCTCTGAGAGACTGTTTTGTATCTCACCCGTTCATCATCTGAATACACATTTATCCAGCACTGACTGTTTATCAGGCACTGTGCTTCGCACCTGGTTTACAAAGGCCAGCAAGATAGAAGCACTTTCTCCCCTCACAGTGCTCTGTGGAATTATGCTTTAATGTAACCATATCCTCCAAAAATGTCTAAACCAGTCCTTGGAGGCAGAGCAAGGAACTCCTAAAGCCCAAGACAGGACCATTTCCTGTAGCACAAGGACTAAATGAAGGATCAGAGCCAGAGCAAGATGCTTTCAAGGTTCATAAAGCCAGTGCTGGAAAGGAGCACTCTGAAACCTATAGCTCTCTACAGCCAGACCACCTGGGACATGCCCAGCCTCACCAAAAACCCTGCAGTTCCAAGGAAGAATTTGGTCTTTTGCTTCGTGTTAACCTTTTAGCCATATACATATGTTAACGCAAGAGAAAATCTTCTTGCTTCTGGTAAAGGCAATGGGTCAAAGAGCAAGAACATACCCTGGCCTGAAAGACCTCTAGCTCCTAAGCAGGCCTGCTTGCTAGGCTGGCAGTATGCTGTGAGCTCATGCCAGCCCTGCAAAGTGGGGGAATCTCCATTGCTGACCCTTTTGCCCAGGAGCTATTGACTAGATTGAGGGCAGCTTGATCTCACCATAGAAAGTCCCAATTCATGAAAAAAGTTTTGATTCCTGTGTAAGACCAAGGCTGATGGCTCTTTGTAATGCTCTGATAAAGCAGCCTCTGTGTGGCCATCTCCTTTTAGGCCCCTCGAGAAACTTCGAGGCCAGCCCGTTTCACTCTTTCTCTTTTTAGACTGTTTGCCGTACTGCACCTGACTGATTCTTTAACAGTGGAAATAGAATCATCACTTTCTTATTTGAATCCTGCCAGTGGCTTCCCACCACCTTCAGAGTAAAAGCCAAAGCCTATAACAACATGGCAGAGACAGGTCTGCATGAGCAGACCTGTGGTACTTCCTTTATTTCCCTTCCCCTAGAGCCATGATGGCAAAGCTTTTAGAGCTCTCAATGACACAAACAGCCCGCTGTGGCACATCTGCATTGGTTTGCCACCACTGCCCTAGTGCTCCCTTGCTCTCCCTCATTTACCACACACACATTCTTTTCTCATCTTTTATACTTCTTGCTGTTCCTTATGCTGGAATAACCCTTTTCCTAAGCGTGTCTCTTCATCTAGATCTTATTCAGAGAGGCTACCTCACCTACAGTGGTGTCCTATCACTTCATGCACACACACACACACACACACACACACACACACAGTTCTTGCCCAATGTTATTTTTTTCATGGTACTTACTATTGCCTGAAATTGTATAGTTATTTGCATATTTGCTTTATCTTCATATCTCCCCCTAAACCACACACCAAAAAAAAAATGTATTTGTTGTTTTGTTCACTATTATCATCACAGTGCAGGGTATGTTAAATACTCAATGAATATTTATTGAATGAATAAATTAGTAAATGCCTACAGATCCATTAGGCTTTAGATTCTGATGGCTTATGTCTTTGGGGGCTGGCAGATATTTTACAGAAAAATCTCTATTAAGTTTTCGTTTTCATCCATTCACAAGTATTATGCTACTATAACAGCACATCACAGAAATATGCAGCTAGATAAATACATAAGCAAACTTTACCCAGCATTCCTTCTGAGCCCAGTGCTTGGCCTAGTCTTTTACAGACACTAGACGAACACCGGAAGGCTCCCTGAGGTTTAGCAAATGTCTGTCCCGGGAAGGCTTTCCATCAATAAAGGTGCATTAAGCAGATGATAATTTCCAAAGATGAAGCTGACACTGTAAATCTGAATTTGTAAACTCTTTTCTCCTAGATATATATACAATCAAGGGGAATGACCACGGGATGCCATGTGTATTTCCCTTCCAGTACAACCATCAGTGGCATCATACATGTATCCGGGAAGGTCGGGGAGACAACTTGCTGTGGTGCGCAACGACAAGCCGATATGAGAGAGATGAGAAGTGGGGATTTTGCCCAGATCCCAGTAAGTGTGAATCTAGTTTCCTACATGTGTCAAGGATGATTAGAGGTGTGCGAGAGCTTCCTGCTACCTTGCACAGGCAGGACCTTCCGGTCCAAGCCCAGGCCAGTGTGGGTGAGACAATCTTCCACCCCCTTGGGAGCCCCCCAACACTACGCAGCACCCCACCCCCACCCGCCTGCAGCGTGAGAATTTCTGCCACGTTCTAGGGACTCCCAGATCCAGTCCTAGCCCAGGCCAGGTGAGTGTGTGGGAGAGCTTCCTGCTACCCTGCGTGGACAGGACTTGCGGATCCAAGCCCTGGTGCAGTGTGGGTGAGCCCCTCTTCCACCCCCTTGGGAGCCCCCCAACACTCCGCAGCACCCCACCCCTACCCTGCCCGCTGCGTGAGAATTTCTGCCGCGTTCTGGGGACCCCCAGATCCAGTCCTAGCCCAGGCCCAATGAATGTGTGGGAGAGCTTCCTCTCCCCCCTAATGCACCTTGTCCCCTCCAGACTCAGCTCAGGTCTGGGGTGAAACCCTGCAACTGCAGTCCCTGCAGAGAGAATAGGGGACAGAACCACCCAGCTAATCCAGGAGCAGAACATCTTGCCAGACTTCACTTCCAAGGCAGGCAGCAGGAAGGAGCTGAGCACAGCAGCCAGACCCAAGCGAGGCACAGCTGGATAAATCCAAACTTTGTAGATCTGTACGTGAACTTCAGTAGGTGCTAAGGTTATAACTGCACCAAAGCTCTACAACAAAGTTCAGAAGGCAGTGCTACACAAAATGACAAGAAGGAGCAAAATGCAGTCTCAGACCCCAAGCCCAACCATAACAAGTGCAGAGGACACTAACACAGAACAAATTGGGAATCACACAGCTGAAATCAATGAATCAACGGCTTCTGAAATAAAGAAACAACTGCAGAAAGGTATAGAGGAACTCAGATTGGAAATGAAAAAAGAAATCTCTGAATTAATAATGTCTGCAGCAAAGAATCAAATGCAGAAACATATAGAGGAAACCCAATGCCCACCCAGAACAAGTTCAGAGGACACTAGCTCAGCTCAAATGTATGAATTAATAGTGTCGATAGTAAATAAGCAACAGCAGAAAGTCATAGAGGAACTATGAGCGGAATTTTTTTCTAGTAGCTCAGCTCAAATGTACGAATTAATAGGGTTGATAGTAAATAAGCAACAGCAGAAAGTTACAGAGGAACTCAGAGTGGAATTTTCTGAAGTAAAAAAAGAATTCTCAGGACTCATAGCATCTGAAGTAAAGAATCAACTACGGAAATATAGGGAGGAAACCCAATCTGAAAAAAAAACACTGCAGTAAAAAAATTAATAATTTCTTCTAAAGAAGACATTGATTAAAAAAAATATAGAGGAGATTAGAAAAATGACGGATTCCTTGACTGAGCAATACAGGAAAGAAATAGATCGCATGAAGCAGAGTCAAAGAGATATAGAGGAACTTAAAATCTCAATCACATGCTTGCAAAACCATTTAAGTGAAAATGAAGACAGAGTTTCAGATCTCGAAGATGCTGGTGCAGCTAGTGAAAAGATAAGAAAGGATCTCTTAAAAACAACTAGGATTCAGGAAAAAATAATCCATCACCTGCAAGATGATGCAAAGATGAACAATGTGAGACTAATAAGCATCAATGAGAAAGAAGGAGTCAATACAAATGACATTAAAAAAATATGGGCAGGACCATCAGTAGCTCACTCTTTCTCTTTTCCTTTTGTCTTTCCCTCTCCTGCATTCATCATTATTCAGCTGCCTTATAACACTTAAAAAAAAAAAAAGCTTCCTTCTAATTAGCGAGCTACCGATGGTCCTGGAAAAAATTTCCCCATAGAGGCTTGTCCCCAAAGGAGTGGAGAGTGGAGGCGAATGGAAGGCCAGCCCTGCCAGGAACTAAAGTTTGCTGGAGGAAATGATGGAAAATGACTACTGTGATATTCGGTGGCAATTCACTGGTGCTTGTCATACATTTATCTTCATAAGAACATAAGCAATTGGCTTGGTGCTGTTCCAGTGGAAGGGTGTCACGTTGGCTTGTTAATTAAATGCAGCATCGGTGCTTCCCATCTCCACCCAGTCCGAAAAAATCCAGATCTGTGTGCAGCACTCAGACCTTTCTATGGATGCAAGTGGATCTCGCACATACCACAGTCACATTATTAATGTCACCCAGAAGTTTCTTCTTTCCTGTCTTTTGTCCTGTTATCTACCTGATGAACATGGTACAAGTATTGAGAGGCATTTTCTGGATTCTTTCTTTGCTGAGAGGTTAAAAAGAATCACAGCAATTAAGAGATTTCGGGAGATGCAGAATGAGATGTTTTCATCATGGTAACATTTCTAAAACAAATGTGTTCTATGGAAGGTCACCATAGACAGATACAAGCAAGTGGAGCCTTACTGCTCGTGCTCAGAGCTGTGCACCTGCCCTCACACAGGGCCTCAGGTTAATGTTCATTTGGGGGAAGAATAGCAGTCCTGTCAAAGTAATTTTTAAAAATTTCCCAATTTTTTTTCAGTAGTGAAAGTAAATATTAGTTCAAATTGGCCTCTGTGGTCAGTCATTAGAATAGACTTAGATTATATTAATAAGACATAGTCACTGACCTCTACACTCTTTCTTTCCCCCTGAATTTCTCTTGAATTTCTTAAGGAGGGGTTTCATAAAAAG